CTGATTTTTTTCAGGTCTGATTTTCGCTATTGCTTAAATAGCGCTATCTACTGCGAGGATCGTGCATCATACGTATCTAATACCGCAGTTCAAAATATATGAACTTCATATATTCATTGCATCTCATTCATCACTTTCACGGGTTTATTACGAATCAACTTAACGGCCTGCTCCCAGTTGGCTTGTTAGCTCAATTGGCAGAGCGCTGCACTAGTATCGCAGAGGTCAGGAGTCCCGTACAGGCCTGATTTTTTTCAGGTCTGATTTTCGCTATTGCATAAATAGCGCTATCTACTGCGAGGATCGCACATCATACGTAAAGAAGCTTTCTTGCAGATCTCCCACTATTTCATAGCGACTTTTGAATATGCGCTTGAATCACGGTCAAGACAATCTAAACATGACCATGAGACTGTAAAACGAGTTTTCAACGAGATTCAGCCTGACGGCATCCCCTCTCCGATTTTTTTTTTTTTACGACAAGCCATGACGTAAGCCGACGGTAGCTATCTGTGACCATTTTATCCGCAACACACTCAAAACCTTGAACTGAAGTCACTTAGCTCTGAAATAATTGGCTTTGAAGTAATTCTCTTGAAATGTCTTTTATTAGACACATTATCCGCAGACATAGTATTCGTTTTGTCCAAAGTTCCACAGTCATTCATCGCCATCTTGTAGCTCACTGCTGACATGGACACAGTTCCCGACGATAATTTTTTTTTCGACGTGGGCACCAGAATTTTTGCCGTGAAGAGTACAAGCCACGTGCTGCGTTCTCTGTTTGTCCTCAGACTTTGCTCCTACGATATTGTGGCAAGAAAAAGTTTGGTGGTACGTTTGTAACAACGTATGATGTTTTTTCTTCTGCGATTTGCGTAGTAATTGACCGAGCTCCATACGAAAGGACGAGGAAAAATTCTTAGCAGAATGCGCGCCTGTATTAAATGTAGGAAAATTTCCTTCGAATGAGATGATTATTCCATAATTATTTCATTTTTTAGTATTTTGCTCTTCAGATTTAGAAATTTTATCTGTCGGCATTATCTTGGGATCGTGTAGTCACCTTCGCTCCGCAAATTACAGGCAAGGTCGTTTTGAGCGGTTGTTCTGTTGCTACGCTTTGCGTGCGTATATTTTCCCATTTTTACAGCGTTTCACAGTCGCTAATTTTGCGCGTTGCGTTATCCTATTATGGGAAGAAGGAATGATAGCGAAATGCAAAGAGTACGGAATTTCTTGCGAGTTTAGACGTTGAACGTTCTTTCCCACGTACCGCAAAGTAGTCAAACGCCCTTTTCAGGGCCTAAGAGCATCAAAACCGAGTTTGGTTGTTTGGTTCTCGTGAAGGGAGGATAAGCAGAAAATCGGGATAGACAAACGCTAGCTTGAAGACTGCACGAGGTACATTTCGCTCTGGAATTGAACCCTAGCCACATCAGAGAGCCCACTAGGTCGTCCTCCATTAAGGAGATGGCACAGATAGAGATGGGGTCATATCTTGTTGTGAGCCTGAATAGAGGGACTGCATTAAATTTTGCGACCATTTCTGTGGGTCACGATTTTCTGTGTATTCCTTGTTCCTTTTCATTTCTATGAAAGAAACAGCATAGAAGGGACAAAGACATTCTTAGGGAAAGAGGTGAGGGGGGCCGGGACGTTACTTTAGCAAACCAGGGGAAAAAAACTGGACCCATGGCAATTATGTCTGGGAAATGAAAATGCACCAGGACCAACATAACCTCAAATAATAAATGGCCAGACCCTAATTTTCTGGTCAGACAAGAGCACACTCCATAACTTACCCCTCCCAACTTAATAAGCATCCCAAGGGTAGGGCTGAGTGTAAATGTTTTGCAGAGTTGTGTACAACTGTCTTTTTTTTCTTTTTATTTCAACAGCTTATGTCTTTTGGTCAAAAGGTGCTTGGAAAAACTTTGTTTGAATTTGTACTGCGTAAAACCATGTATAGCCAGTTTGTGGCTGGAGAGACTCTACCAGCTATACAGAACACAATTAGAGAGCTGGGTGAATGTGGAATAGGAACAATGTTATGTGTACCTAATGAAGAAGATCTTTCAACTGATTACAATAACTTTAAAGAAAGGTGAGCTTGTTTTGACTCGCACTGCAGACAGTCACACCCACAGTTGTAACAGTCTAAACTGCAACTTTAACTATATTTTTAGCAACCATTCACAGAAGTGGAGGTGGCTGGGATGATGTAGCACAAAAAGATCATTTAAACTCCTTCATTCCAGCAAGGATAAAAATATTTTGGGGTTTAAATCCAAGGCAAGTTGCTCAGAGGTAGATAGCAAAGGATAAGCAGAGTTTGAATAGCCAAATGGAGTGTGCCTTAGATGCTAATGGTAAAGGGAAAAAACATTTGTTGTACAAATTATTGACATTGCTAGTCATTATGATTACATTTACTGCCAAGTTATTTTTTTAATACATATACGATTGACATATTAAGAGCAATTAAAAAATTATTAATTCTAAACAAATTACCATTACTCTTGCAGAGAAGCTATGTTTGATAGAAATGCAAATGCCATTCTTGACTGCATTGAAAAGACAGGTAACTGACAATTTACTGCAACAATTTTACACCAGGTCTCTAAAAGGGTATTGTAATATTTTGACACTATAAACTCTGAGACCCTTTTGTTAGGTTCAGGTAGACTTGTTTCAATAACCTCCCCCTACTTTTTGGTTACCTCAACTAAAAGGCCAACTTTCAATTAAATGGCAGGCATAAAGACATGTGATAGTCAGAGAAAAATTTTTTTTCTATTATAAAATTCCTTTACTTCCACTGTCTTGGGATATGTTAGTTCTTTCAGCTGTTTTAAATCTTGTTTTGATCATGACTTTTAGCAGAGGGAGGCTTTTCGCAAATGAAAATGACAGCCATATGCAGCCCAATGCTACTGGTAAGTGGCTATTTTAAGTCAGACAGCAAAGAAGCAAAATATTTATTTTTGGAAAACTGAAAATATGTCTGTTTGCTTAGCTCTAAATAGTAATTGGTTTTCTTAACACTTTTTTGCCTCCAAAGTCAAACCTAAAGGAATTAAGCAAATCAAAGTTTGGGTGATTTAGTCAGACCACTTACTTGCTCTGTTTTCCATCCTTATTTTTACCCATTCTACAATGTAATCCTGTTACATATTTTGCATGTTCTCTTTCCCTGATATGGTAATATGGCAGAATTGTAGAATAACTGAGTTTGATACTTTGTCAGTTATTATCTAGCTATCAGTCAGACAGGAGAAATCAAACAGTTTGCATTCTGTAGCAAAATTACTTCATTATTTCATGAAAAAAATTATTGTTCAGTATATAAATCATTAAAACATATCTATTATTATAAATGTTTTAAGAATGAGTTGAACAAGCACTTAGCACCATATGAATCAAGTACAGAGGCACCTAAAGGACTTGATATTCCAAGCTTTGCACAGGGGTTTGACAACAAGATAAATGTAAGTTATAATTTACCTTTTGACCTTTCATTCCCAGTAGAAACTAACCTGGAACAATTCTTCATAGTGTAGGACATTATCCACAAAAAAAGTTGATGAAAATGTGGTCAAACTAATTTGGGTTAGGTCTTAATATGTAAAAAAAAAAAAAAAAAAAATGTCCAATAGTTGGGAGGAAGAGTTAATCAGATCTTGAGAGTATTTGATCTTGTAATGAGTGAAAGGTTCATTGTCTACATTTACTAACACCAGAAGAGTAAGGAATTAATGTGAAGGTTGTTAATTGGAAGATCAACATTTAAACAGGAAGACAACTGTAATTTTGATGCAATTGTATTTTAAAATACTGTATCCTTATAAGTTTTGATGTGTTGTACTTGATTGCAGTTGCCTGTTTTAAATGACAATCAAAATGAGCACCTTGTCAATGTACTGAAAAGACAAGACAAATTTGCTGAGGTAATTAATATACATGTGGTATATTTAATTTATCTTCTATGATTATCATAACATACTATAATATATTATTATTAATCACAATTTATTCTTATTTATGAATTTGAAACTTAATTTCAGTATTTCTGCCAAAGATTTGGAAACTGTGTATTCAAAATTTATTATGCATACATATTATGACCAAATATTCAATAAGATTTAATACAAACACACCAGTAATTTGTGCTAATTTCACACAAGAAGACTTTTTCCATGTTTATAGGGCCAGATCTAACAACAAAGGGGATAACAATGTTCGAGACAGCTTGCAAACTTGAGAGGCAGTCAAGGGTTAGCACACCTTTCAAGAATTCTCTCAACCCCCTTTTTGTTTACATGGGGCTATAAAAACAGAGATAGTCTTCTAATAAATGGCTTTTACCAAATACTCACAGGAATCTCATTAAACATACCTATTGAACATTGAGAGCACTTACAATATTTACTAGTAAGTTATTTTGTTTTAGTAAATTAAATTGGATTTATTCCTTTTATCAGACATGTATAAATCGCAATGTGCGATTGGTTATTGATGCAGAGCAGACATATCTGCAGGCAGCAATCAATCAGTTGGTGTTAGCCCTTCAGTATAAATACAACAAAAACAACCCTTGGGTCTACAACACCTATCAGTGCTACAGAAAGGTATTTACTATAGTACTACAGTGCTAGAAATTAGAAAAAAAAAATCCAGGTTGTCCCTATTTTAAAAACTGGGCAACCAAAGCCGTGAATTTGGTTGCCCTGATGAATCCTTGGTTGCCCAGTAGAAAATCACATGGCGGTCAAGTTTGAACTAATCCCATGGTTCTTGCTTAGTGTGTGGCAATGGTTTTTGCAGAAGTCTGGGTTTAAGTTGTGGCATATTCAAAATGGTGTCTTTGAACTTGATCACCTCCAGACAAGAAACTTTATGTTTGCCTGTTACATTTTTGTACCCGGCAATGTTTTGTAAAATTTACAGATATCCAAAACACAGGAAAACGCTTAGCTGAGGCAAATTATTAACTTCACACTACCAGACATGGACAAAACAAAACCGTCATGTAGGTCAGGTGCTGTTTAAGGTTAATTTATTTTCTATTTTTGGCTGGGTTGTCCGTTGTTTTTCCCCCGGACAACCAGCCTCTTAATTCTACTAAAAATTGGTTGCCCAGTAAACTTTTTGGTTGTCTCGGCCGACTGCTAATTTCGAGCACTGGAACTAGTTCTGTGACATCCCCCAAAAAATATTAAACTCTAGAAATATTTCTGGAATGTTGGAAGAATAAATCAAGCAGGAAAGTGTGGTCTGTTGCTTTTAATTTACAAAAATAAACTTCCAATTTCTATGGCTAATTGCAGTATATGATACTGCCTCCTGGTTAGCTCAATTGGTTAGAGTGCCATCTGGACTGTCGTGTGGGATGTTGAGGGTTCGAGCCCCGGCCAGATCAACACTCAAGGTCTTAAAATAACTGAGGAGAATGTGCTACCTATCTATAATATCAAGAAATGGGATAGACATTCTAGTCTACTCAGATAAAGATGAGTAAACCATAGGTCCCATCTCCGGCATCTATTAATTAGTTAATTTGGTTAGGCAGGGGATGTTAAAGAACCCACTCGTGAGATTAACATTATGTAGTCTGGCCTGTTTACTGGGAATTGGGGAGGGGGAGGGGCATCTTCATTCCTTCAATTGATTGTAAACTGCTGATGCAGTCCGGCCAAAGTCCCCTGAAAAGTGTTGTGACGCGCACTTGATCATATCCAAATGTTCATTTGTGCAATATAAATATTAAATTATTATTATTATGTTTTTACCAACAGGGTGCTTAAAATTGCTTAGTTATTTTTTGGTATTATGTAGTATAACACAATTTCATAATTAACAGGACACCTATGACAGAGTGGTGGCAAATTTGGAATTGATGGAAAGACTGGGTTTCCACTTTGGTGCCAAGATTGTTCGTGGTGCATACATGACAATGGAGAGGAATCTTGCAGCAGCTATGGGGTACGATGACCCAATACATAACAGCTACGAAGACACCTGTAGAATGTATGAGCAGGTGGCAGACACTTTGTTACACCTGGCAAGTCGGACTCCCGCAGAAGTCATGGTAGCCACTCATAATGAAGAATCAGTCAAACTTGTTGTCCAAAGGTATTTCTAAAAAGTGCATATGTTACTCTTAAACAAGAGCTCTCAAACAGTGATGTCATTTGGCTGAAAATTCACCCCTAAGCCTTGTTTGCACTTAAATTTTCATGAATGATGCATCTTTCTTGACATTGTCATGTTGGTATTCTTTTGATATTAGTGCATTGGGATTACTTTTCCCCTTAAATTGACCAGTCTGCTCCATGAAGGTAGGACTTGGGGTGAAATTGGGTATACAACCTAGACATGCACGAGTCATACAGCAGATGTGCAGCTTGTTGGCATCTTGTCAATATAAGAAACTGTGGGATTGCTATAGAAGGGATCAGGAATTTAACAAGGCAAGTACAAGAACAGTGGTGAAGATGATATAAGATGATAACATTGACAATGACAGTAAAGTTGGTCCATCAGAGGTTCCCTTCTCCTCAAAATAGTAAACTGTAAGCAGTGATGTGCAACATTACAACAAAAAAAAAAAAAAGAAGCCATAAATTTGTTTAACCTATTGATGTCTACTTCACCCGTAAGAACCCATGTGGAACCACACCCTTTCTATGCCTTGTGGCGTCTTCACTTTTAACCCTGGAGCACGACTTTGAGCACGTACTTAAACAGGCTGAAAATATCTTACAAACGATACCAGAATGAGCGCAATTGAGCGAAGGAGACTGGAGAAATAGCCAAAAAACCATGTAACTTTGACCTGAAAATCTGCACGAAAATCTTGTTCCGTTACCCACCTACTTTTCTGAGCATGTGGTTTGAAAACAATGAGTAGTTTCCTTAAAAAATCTCTACACCAAAATGAAGCTTACTAAATTTCCAACAACTGAGAAGAAAATTCAGGCAAGGAAAGGGAGAAAAAAGGGCAGGAGAAAGAGAAAAGTAAAAGTTGTAAGTGGGGCATTACTTTTCAAAACCCAAAAACTATCTAAAATTTTGCTTTCTGCGCCTGCATGAGACTTTCAGGCCACCATTTTGCATTTGGATCGAAAGGCCATCGTGTACAAGCTGTGAATGGGTTTGTGGTAAGTTTGAGCTTTTAAAACCACAACAGTGACCCGAAATCTGCTCGACTAGCTTCAAAACACAGTTTTTCACAAAAGCTGCGGCTATCAATGGGTTTAAGACTAGCCTCAATTTAAAGTTGTTTAATTTGATAACAAATTTTGGTGATTAAATGTAACATATATCAAAATGTTGGAACAGAATGAAGGAACTTGGCATTGCACAGGATGGAAGGAAGATTTCATTTGGACAACTGTATGGGATGTGTGACCAGGTCTCTTTCTTGTTGGGTAAGGGGTATTACACCTACAATTTATACCAGTTCATTTATATCTGCCATTCCATGGGGAATTACACATTTCCATTTTCATATTGCTCCTTGCAGTTTGTAGTTATCAGACAGTCTAAACAGTTTTAAAGTTCCCCTTTGCATGTTGGCAAGATTAGTTCCTGTTTGCAAACTCCTTTGTACATTGGCAACAGCAGTGCCTTTGCATGTTTTGAATCTTGTGAAATAATCAGCTGACAGCAGCAATAGGTGTACAGTGTGACAGATGTATACAGGCAGTTTAGGAAAAGGTGGTTCCAAAAAATGCAAAATATGGTTTCTGCAATAGTGCATTTTGAAAACATTGCAGTTTACCATTCCAAAATTTAATTTCTTCCATTGTTGATTTATTTGTGATAGTGGAGAAGAGCATGTCATTGTAATTTCTGGTTAAATCACCTTTACAAAGTACTTTATTGTCACCAGTGCTTTCCTGCTTCTGCAAGACAACCTATCAGCTGTAATCAAGCAAACATTAAGAAATAAGTAGACAAAACCTTATAAACTAAGGCCTTTCCTCTTGAAGAAGGAGTAGAAGGAATGTCCAATCGAGAGCAATTTTTCTATCCGTATGTTTTATTGCTCCTTTATTATTAAAGGGCAGAAAGGCTTCAATGTGTACAAGTCAGTACCCTATGGCCCTGTAGGTGAAGCACTTGCTTATCTTGGGCGCAGAGCAACTGAGAACAGGGATGTTATCAAACGAACAGAAAAGGAAAGATCTCTCTTGTGGCAAGAGCTAAGGAGAAGAATTACTTCCCCAACTCATTAATGTGAACACTATCTTCAGACTTATTTGATCAATTCCTTGGCATGCAAGGCAGTCTTTTGAAGGCAGCAGGGCATAATCAACACATTTTTTCAATAAATGAGACAATAGTTGGCAAGGAAGTAAAATCAAAAATGGCATGGGTGCATAGTTTTGTTGTTACCAACAATGATCAATAGTTGTTTATTTGCCACCACTTAAAGCACTCTCTTGGGTTTGAATTCCGACAAAATCATAACTTACAGCAATTTGATGTTGTTCAATAACACAGTTTCTACTTGGTCTTTTCAAACTCAATATAGCTCTACAGCTTAAAAAAACGTTTATGGAGAAATGAACTTGCAGTTGCTGATAAACTTCCATTAATAATAGCTGGATGTTTTCAGTACATCTTGTGACCTTAAAAACGAAAGATTCCATACTTAACTGCACCAGACCCTTAGCCCCAAGCAATGCTTCTCTGAACACACATTAAGAATATTTCTACTCAAAGTATGTGTGGTGCAATTAATGAACTGGAAATCCACTTTTAGGCCTGTGTGCTCTTCATTTCATATCAAGAAGAGGTGTTAATTAATTAATGGCCTTTGCTGCTGTCTTGAAGATGCTTGGCATTATTTAACTGCATGGTACAGCCAATACCAAATGTAATTTACTGTGTGGTACAGCTGATGATGTAAAAAACATCAGTCCTGCTTTTGTTGCACAACTAAAATGTACTGAGGGCACAATCATTTAAAAATGAGAGGTTTCCCTTATGAATATTTCAATAATTCTAGTTAGGTTTGTGATCAAATTAGTCAAACTCATCAAACATTTTTTGTAGTTTTATGAATATTAGGGCGCAAAGAATAACAGATTATTAGAACAGATTGTTACAACTTGAGAGCTTTATATTGTTTTAATTCATCTT